ACTTTGTTTCTGCTGGCACAGCACTTGACCAATGTAATTCTCATCAATCAGTTAAAGAGCATTCCAAAAGGAAAAAAAAAGTTTTTGCACTCTGCAAACCTCCCAAAAACGGGCCCATTTTCGCTCCAGGGGGGAGGCGAAAACGAGCCTGGATTTTGTCAAAAAAATTGCATGTATAGCCTTATGGAGGCTTATAGAGTGCTGCTGGGGGGAGGGTTAAAATATTCTTGTTTTTGCTCATTTCTCCCCTCCCCAGCCCCCAGGAACTCTCTGAAAGCCTCCATAAGGCTTTGCACAGCCATTTTGGTGAAGGGGTGGGGCTTTAGGGGGCAAAAAATGCTATATTTGATGTATAAGACACACCCAGATTTTCAGCCTTTTTTGGGAGGGAAAAAAAGGTGCATCTTATACTCCGAAAAATACGGTAGTCATGAATATATCTGAAGAACAAAGTAACCTTTAGCTATCATTTATATGTCTGAATATCACTATGGGGCTTCCATAGTGTCAGTGGGACTCATGTACTTAGAGATTTTGTTGGATTTATGGGATGGCATAATTGTCATCTTGTGTTGTTTGGGGGGCTTTTCAGCAACTATTTTAACAAACGCTAGTAACTCTCCCAAAATTTTCTGTGTTGAAATGAAAACCTGATACATCTTAATGGTATGTTGACAGTATATAAATCCGTCCCAATACAGCAGCAAAATTACAGTTGTACGAGCCATAGGATTTTTTTCATTTGAAAAAAATGCAGGTAGGAATGGGGGGACAACAGAACCCAAATATAAATATGTTTTGCTAATCTGTGGCATACTTTTTGCATTACATTGAAATGTCATTTGATTGTAAATTATTGACGGAGACTAATTTTCTAGTAATTGACTGCATGCAAGATTGCATTCTCGGAGCCTTTCTGTCTAAAGAGCTTAATAAAATGCATTCTTTTTCATCATAAAGTTTTAAACCTTTACCCAATTCCAGATATATATAGAGAGGGGGGGGAGGGAGAGGTTTGTATGTCTGTGTTTATTTGTCATCAAATGAAGAGAAAAAAGAGACAAAGGATATACTACAGCAAAAAAAAATTATTAAATCCTATTCTTTTTGATTTATGCAACTTATAAAAATTATTTTGGAGCCCTGATGGTGCAATGGTTAGAATGCAGTATTGTAGGCAAACTCTGCCCCCAGCCTGGAATTTGATTCTGACAGCAGTCAAGATTCATTCAGCATTCCATCCTTCCAAGGTCGGTTGGTTGGTAAAATGGGACCCAGTTTATTGGGGGCAATATACTGACATGGTAAACTACCCAGAGATTGCTCTAAAGCACTATGGGGTGGTATATGAGTCTAAGTGCTATTACTATTATGTTGTGACTCAGCACATGTCTGCTGTGAGTCTTTTCGGGATACAAGATTCATTATGCAGCTGGGGCTGGTTAGAGGCAAGTTTAAAGATAAAAGGACGGATGCTGCCACGCCCTAGTCGCAGGAGTCAACGTTCCGTCGTGTGTACAACATTGCTTAATACACTTGGATAAGTGTTTTGGTGTTTCCTGTAACCCTGATTTGTGGAGACTTTGGAAGAAGTGCATTGCTTGTAAGAGTTTTGTTTTGCATTCTTGTCGGAGACTTGTATTTATGTTATTTTTGGGCTCGAAGCCAGTTTGAACTGAGAACTGATAAAGAAAGACTTCCTTTTAAGTTTGTCTGCTTGCGTTTGTTAAGAGCCAGAAGGGGGGACAGAACACTATTATATTGCTATTATGACTGGAAAGTTATAACTTTTTTTAACAGTTTAACCAATCTAGCACTACTATTAAAAAGCACAATATATATTGATATGTTTATTTTATATAGTATATATAGCATAAAAACTGCAGTATAAGTAGCCCTCAACTTATGACCACAATTGAGCCCAAAATGTATGTTGTTACGTGAGAAATTTGTTAAGTAATTTTTCCCTCATTTTACAACTTTTCTTGCCACATTTGTTTAGTGAATCATTGTAGTTGTTAAGTTAGTAACATGGTTGTTAAGTGAATCTGCATTCCCCATTGAGTTTACTTATCAGACGATTGCAAAAAGGGTCACATGAACCTGGGACACTGCAATGGTCATAAATATGAGTCAGTTGCCAAGCAACCAAATTTAAATCACATGACCATGGTGATGCTACAACAGTCATAAATGTGAAATATGATCGTGTCTCTTTTTTCAGTGCTGTTGTAACTTTAGACGGTCACTAAAGAAACTGTTGTAAGTTGAGGACTATCTGTATACAACAGAAAATAATACGTTTTGAACAACTTGTCTGTTCTCTCTCCTGTCTCTTCAGACCTGGAACTTACAACCCAAACAAGTTGCCACACAGACATGTCAGCTGGCCAGGGAAGTTTGGTTCCCCAGACTGGTCTTTGGTTCCAATGCCACAAAGAAGAACTTTCAGAGCTGAGGTATGAAATTTGGGGTTAAACGTGTTATCAGTTTGGAATGACAGAAATGTTTCATTTCTTGAAATAAATTAATGTATTTTCTTGTACTTGAGCAACAGCTTACAAGAAACCACGTGGCAGCCTACAACTACAATGCCAGTGATGGCTAACCTTTTTATCACCGTGCACACCCACAATGCAATGCGTGTACGCCCACTTTCCCCCTGCCCCGGTGCATGCACATGGACCCCCCTGCATGTGTGCATAACCCCCAAGTGCACCCCCATGTGCATGCACACATGACCCCTGCACGTGTGTCCCCCCTGTGCATGCACACACGTCTCCCATATGTGCCCACACACGTGCCCCTACAGACCTTTATATGGTTTTGCCGCTCTTTGAGACTCTTGTCCAGCAACTCAACATGATAATATTAAATAGAAGAAAATGGTTATTCTTGTTAAGCTATATTGAACCACAACCAGTAGATTTATGCTGGGGAAAGGAATACACAGTTGTTCACCAATAATGAGAAAGGAGAGAAAGAAGAGGGAATGGAAAAGTCAAGTTATATACTGTGGAGTATAGTCATTGCTCCTCACTGATACTCCTCTAACGAATAAGATCATTAAAACCCATCTTTTTTAATGGGATGTTTTTGAAACAGTCTTGATTTTTGTAACTTCTTGGAAACATCCATGGTATTTTCTTGCAGAATGTCTTGCAATTATAGAAATGGTTTGACATTACTTTCTTCTGGGATACTTTTCAACTTCAGTCTAGTGCTGAAAGGTGGTGGTGGCGCAGTGGTTAGAATGTAGTACTGCAGAGTACTTCTGTTGAGTGCCAGCTGACTGCAGTTCGGCACTTTGATTCTCACTGGCTCAAGGTTGACTCAGCCTTCCATCCTTCTGAGGTCAGTAAAATGAGGACCCAAATTATTGGGGGCAATATGCTGATGTTTAGAGAGGGCTGTAAAGCATTTTGAAGCGTAAGTGCTATTGCTAGTGGGTGCCCAACGTCACACAGCTTAACAAGAACTTGCCCCCAATCCAACACATTATTATTATACCATGCTAGCTCTGCTACAAGAATTATAATGGTATAATAGTATAAATTTATCTCACTAATGTATTTATTGTAATTATCTTTTAAAAGCTAACTTGTATCTCTTCCTGCAGAATTTCTTTACCTGAAGTATTTTGTAGTGATAGGTGAGGAGCTAAGGGGGGACACTCTTGATTACTATTCGGTTGGGGAAACCTTCCCAACCTAGACTAGGAAGTTGGAAAATATTCCAGAAGAAAAATAACAAGCCATACTCCTACCATGCCAATCAAACTCTCCAAAATAATTCATAGTTTTTAATTATTTGTATAATGATTGTGTAATTAGTACTAATAATACAATAAGACAGCAATTATGTACAGTTAATATTTTTTAATTTTGTTTTATTTCAGCTGATTTCAGATAAAGAATTCAAGAAATATCGGAATTTGGTGGCCTATCTGAGTATATATTACAGTGATTAATTCTTGTGGCTGAAGATATTTCCTGTCCTACATACTTAGATCACTAATTTACTTTTTATCATTAGACAGAATTAGAGCATTTTTAATTAATTTGTAACTTGGATTCAATATAAATACTATTTCATAAAGAGTTTTTTTGTTTCCTTTTAAAGGCTTCTTTTTTCCTAATGTTCTCTGCTATTTCAGTATAAAACCTTTACTCTTTCGAAGTTGCTTCAAATGTTTGGATTTTGCCAACAGCCACATCTGTTAAAATATTTCTGGTTTCGAACAGTTTAGCTAGAGAAATGCTTAAGAGAAATATAGATTTTTAAAGTATAATTTCTATTTATATGTCAGTTTAGATCCTAAAGCTCACAAAAGTCATGCCAAATTGGAGAAATTATTATGGGAACAAGCATGTATTGATTAAAATTGAAAATATTTTGTCCTGCTACTCCACTGTACTGGCCAATATTTTTTGAAACACAAAAGTATTAGAAGAATGTGCCATATGATCTGATATGGTCTTATGATACCACTTCTTGGACTGCATTTTCTGCATGTAACTGAGAATGGAAATTTCATGAAATATATATGCAATGACATTTTTAGAACTATTTTAGCACAGTGTTCTTTTCTGTCTGCTGCAGAGAAGACAAACTTCATTCGTACTGAACAAGAAACCCACTTTGTGGGTCTAAGCATGTAGGATTTCCCACTCAAGGAAAGATTTCCATACTATATTCTTGTAGGAGAAACCATGCTTTTCATTCAACCTGAACTGAGCTGTAGCTATTGTATTTAGGAACTAGATTTGTACCGTACAATTTTTAACCTTCTGTATTCTGCAGTATGGGAGAAAATACATGAGTAATAAAAAACGTATTACAATTTCTAATCAGTTTTGTGAGATAATATACCAAACTTATAGCAGACAATGGCTCTGCTGATGTAGCAGGATGCTTAAATATTTCTCTGCACACTTTATAAAAAGATATTTTAAGTTCATTTTATATATTCTTGATTTCTCCAAAAATTATATTTCATTTAGAAGTTACATAGAAAGTCTTATGATTCCAATGGAATCCATTGTATGTCTTGTAAACTAGCAGTTTTAGATTAGAAGGTACACAAAACCACTTGTACCAAATGGAAAGAATGTATAGTTTGCCAAACAGAACCTTCACTTTCAATCCTTCCTCATTCTAGTGTCTTTTAGATGTTGATTGTATAACTCCCATAACCTCTGCCTATTCATCAAGCTGGTATGAGGAGACTTGTACAAATTTTGTAAAATATACCACACTAGGAGAATATCTTTACAGCATAAATCCTGCCTCTCTCTATCCAATCATCCACTTATTAAAGTAATTGATAATTTACTGTTAATAACCAAACATCTCCAAACATATTGCTGCAGTGAAAGAAACGTAGAAACTGATTCTGAGTCATGGATTTATTTTTTAAAAATTCAAAGAAAATATCACCTGAACAGGAAGAATATAAGACTTGTTAATCTTCCACTGAATGTTATTCTATTTCTTTCAGGTTGGGTAACAAAGCATGCACCATATTTATTTTTTGCTAATATCATCATAAAAGGCAGAAAATAAATTTGATATTAGAAATCATAGAACGGTACCACCATTTTCTCAACAGTACATTTTCATCAGTAATTTGGGATTTTGAGTTTTAAAATATGACACTGCTTATTTCATTACATAAATCACTCTATGTTATATCCTCCAAAGTATTTATGATCAAGAAACTTCAGGAATGTTGTATACAGATGAGGATGGGGTAGACTCTCCAGTCTTCTTGCAGAGGCCTATAGAACAAATAGACAAAAAATATCTGTAATTGGAATTTCAAGGTAAAATAAATGAAGGCAGAAAAAACTGGAGGTGGGACTTAACATTTTTTAAAAGTTTAATAGCAACCTTCTCTGACGAGGGTATAAATTTTGGGCTATAGCATAAAAGAATTAATCGTTTTGCTTGCTTGTCCTACAATACCTAAATTGTCTTGCTGGTTGCTATTTTTTTCTGGGGCTTATATTACAATTATATTAACCACAACTTATTTTTGCTCAAAGGCAAAGTGGTAGTTTCCTAAAGATCTGTGAGTTTGGGGAAAACAAGTTAGGTTTTCAGTTATTCAACTGTGGGAATACAATAATGGATTTACCATTGCCTTAATTTAGTTTGACCCATTGTATGTACTGTATATATGTTACTGTTATTCTGAATAAAACTTTGGGAGTTTAACAGTTGGTCCCAATCTTTATTTTTAACATTATATGATACTAAACAAATGTATTGTTAAAGTTTATGACGGATACCATATGAGTGCTCCAGATATTTTTTCCCATTCCAAGCCTTCCCTTTCAAATAGAAAGACATCATGAAAGATAATCATTCCAAATTCAGAGTCATTTCAAAAGTATTTTCAGTTAGTCTCAGCATATATTAGTAGCACTTGCAATGGCATAGAAATTTCATAGGATTTATTTCATAATAGGAAAACCACAAATTCTGAATGCAGCTAATAAGGGGACAATCAATTCTAAGCATGTCCATTTTCTCGTCAAGAGTCACTCTTGCCTAATTAATACTGCATCCCATGATCAAAATAACTCTTCACCTTATATCCTTCACCAATTCTCTCAGTTTTTATTTTGCTACATGTATAATCATTCTTGTGCAGTGCCATGATGATACTTACAATATGTTTAACTCTCATATTTTAAACCAATCATTCCTATTCATTGTTGGGTCTCTGAATACGCCAGTCATTTTATCTGTGCTCTGTTGTCTCTACCACCACAGTCATGTCACTTCATGGAATTATGTTTTTACCTAGGTCAGTCAGTCACTCACTCACTCTCACTCACTCACTCTGTTGCACAGTGTCATCCCCCCCCCCAACATACATAATATTGCCATTCAGTGGACCATAACAAGAAATTATCACCAAACGTTTTTCTACTTTTCATACACATCTACAACAACCTAAATTCCACTAATTCATGAGAAAGCATACATTTTAGCTCTTTCATTTATATACCTTCACTTCCATGCATGTGTTCATCAACTCAAGTCTAGAAGATCAGATCTATTTACTCTTTTCCATTTCTTTGTGTCACACAGACACAATATATTTTCCTTTCAATTCCTTTAATTCATACATTCAGGTTCTTCACTATTTACACCTCTTAGATTCTAAGTCATAGTCTTCCATATAGAGTAGTCCTTTACTTACAACAGTTCATTTAGCACTGAAAAAATGTGTCTTATGACCGTTTTTCACAGTTACAACCTTTGCAGCATCCCCATGATCGTGTCCCAAGGTCATATGATCACTTTTTTGTGACCTGACAAAGTCAATAGGGAACTTAACAACTAGATTACTAATTTATCAACTGCAGTGATTCACTTAACAACTATGGCAAGAAAAGGGACAAAACTCATTTAACAAAACTCTCAACACCACAAGTTTTGGGGTTAACTGTGGTTGTAAGTTGAGGACTACCTATATCATGGCCATTCCCAGATGGAACTAAATATTAACCTCTGCCATTCACCATGGCTTTTCTCAGTTGAGGTTTTCATGTTATACTTTATGTTATACTTAGGAAAGGAAATGTGTACATGGGGTTACTAGCCTTACATGTGTAGCTGACATCTATGTCACATGCAAGATTGTTTATTAATTTTGTCCCATGCATACTCACAATTATATACAAATTCAAAAGTAGTTAGCGTTATAATTGCATATAGTTACGCTGGGGGTTATGTTTTTACATTTTTTATGTTTTAATTTGAGGACTTTCCATGTATTAACTGATATTGTATGGTACTTTCTTGTTAGCCAGCTTCAAGTCTTTTTCCTCTAGAAATACACTAATACTAGTCATGTTTCACCCTGTAAATTTTCTTCATCCTAACCCCAGAATATAAATTGGCAATGAGGTTTAGATAATGGAAAGTTAAACTTTAATCTACTCCTAACTTTAATGGATACTGTAATGATTTGTAATGCTGCCCCTGGGAATTCACGTCCTACTTTCATCTATTTTTATTAACATTTGTTGTTATTACTGATATTTTAGTGTTGGTTATTTTTAATCTTGTTAATGAGATAATGTAGGTGAAAAAAGTTCAAAACGTTTATTTCTATATGCATTATAACTGGATATTATATGATCATTTTATCTTTAAGAATCGGTACCTCCCCAGCCTTTTCTTCTGTTATATCTTTTTAGATTTTAAACCTGAGAGCAAGGACTGTTTCTTTTTAATGACCTCAAAATCAAAGTGAGAGTTAATCTGTCTGAAGAGCAGTGGTATTAATACATTACCTCAGTTCATTAAAACACTCTTTAGTTTATTCACAAGGGGGTTGATTCCTTGACCACAGAAATTGCCTGAGAAGTCATCCAGACCAAGAGTCCAGACCATGGCTCCTCCATACTCTTTCGTCTTCAAAAACTCAGTCTACAAAGATAAACAGCAGCTTTTAGTGTTAGCCAAGCTGAAATTTATATTGAATGAATAACATTAAGGGGAAAAAACCCTATAATCACTTCTACTTCCACTATGATGACTAAGTGAGTGCTCTGGTCACTGTGTTCAAAACTGACTCACTGAGAAACAAGCATGTTTAAATTGTATAACAATACAAAGATGTTTAGATTTAGATCTAATACACAGAGTGATACACGAAGCTGGACATTTGACCAGGAATACTTCATGCTATGTTTTGTTATAAAGTTCAGCGGTTCTATGTGAATCTTAAGTAGAGCTGATGTATATGAGCTGCAAACATTCTGACTATCACTAGATGGCCATAAAAAGCAGTTGCTGTCATTTTATAGCCCTTTATTAGTTGTCTGGATTTTTGCAACCCAGAGATGGTGATCTTGCCTTAACGCTCTGACTTTGTTTACAAAAAAATCTTTGTATTATTCAATGGCATCAGGCCCAGATAAGAATTTATACTACGTAACAGCATAGGATAACTTTAATAAGCAGATGGAACTTTTCCGTGTATATTCTATATTGGAACTTAGTCATTATTTTATTTCATTGGGTAAACTAGGTTTAACCCAATAATTATTACACAAAATGACAACTTACTTTAAACTGAAAACTTTTCTCATTATCATATGCAACCCATTCTCCATTTTTGAAAGCATATGGAACCTTCTGTTCCTCAATCCATGCTTTGCTAGCTCCTTGTAAGAATGCACAAACCTGTCAAAATGATCAAAGCGTTTCAAGAGAGAGAACAAAACAAAGCAAAACTGTTTTTACAATATTTCCCCATTGGAATTAATTGCTATTAAAGAGTATTGTAGTTTGTGTGCTCAAATTTTAACCAACAGCAGTTTCTTAAAAAAATAGATCTCAGTAGTATAAGAATAGGAAGAATAGGACAAAAGATGGCTCAATTGATAGCCAAGAAAATGTTCTAATAATTAGTGGGGAGAGAAATCCCAATTTAAGTCACTTAAATTACAGTAAACAAACAATTTGGTTCTGTAAATTCCATTAAATTGTGACATTGCTCCTAACATGACCAGAATTATATTGCTAAGATTTTTTTTATTGTTGTTAGGTTTTGGTATTTTGGCCTATCTTTCAAGTATTTTAGAGACACATTCATAGAATTATTTCTGTTTACTCTTTGTACAAACTCAAAGCAAGTAAAGCCAAGAGAGAACAATTTATCCATGGCCATTTTATAAAGTTACCTATGGAAAGTTCAGCCTTAGGTCCACCTTGATAATAGAATGAAACTGGCTTCTCACTATTTTCTTGTGCAAGTTTATTAGTAAATTAGTAATTTCCCAACCTAGCCAAGGCCCCTGGGATTTCCTGAAAATCATCTATCCAAGCCTAAGCCAATCAAAACCTTAGTTTCTGGAGATTAGCCAAGGAAAATCAGGGGTTGCCATCTAGTTAGATAAATTATTATTATTTTTAATAAAATGAAGGGCATTTACCTCGTAATATGCCAGGACACCAGAATCTTTGGTATAGACTCCAGGACTGCCTCCACCAGAGGCTGGAGCACCAACATTAGTATTTGTACTAGAAAGTCTAAAAGTACGTGCATATGTTGGATACCCCATCATGAGTTTTTCAGATGGTGCTCCACTGTCATTCCAATATTTCATTGCATATTCCTACAATACAGAAACAAACAAACAAACATGATATACATACAGTCTGTTCACAGTACAAAACAGGGTAGAGGAAGATCAAGAACAGTATGATCATTTATTAGTCCGTTCGGCAGGAAATCATACAGCAAACCACACCAGATGGATAAATAAATGGGCCCATGTTTCACTTCCCAGTTTTAGTGTTTGATGGAAATGAGAACAAAAGGAGAAGCTATGGTTGGAACAAATGCCTTTTGCAAATAAATAATAGTAATCATCATCATCATCATCATCATCATCACAGTATAGCCCAGGTATTTATTGCTTTTATGATGTTTCCTCCACTGAATTTGGACTTTAGTATCTTGCGAATTCTTTGACTGTACTTGGCTGAAGTTGATTCCTTGATTTTATTATGCATTAGGTCAGAGGCCTCTAAGAGCAATAAATACCTGGGCTATACCTTTGATTCGAAACTCTGCAGGAATAATTGACTGGACCCAGATGGAGTTGGACAATTTGGACAGTAAAACAAGGAAGCTTATGACAATGAATCATGCCTTGTGCCCTAAAAGTGATGTTGACTGATTATATCTACCAAGAGCAAAGGGTGGTCGAGGATTCCTACAAGTAAAGCAGACTGTGGAAGAAGAAAGACACAGCTTGAATGACTACATCCAGAAAAGTGAAGAACCGATGATTAAGGAAGTAAATAAAGGAGGCCTTTTGAAGACAACCAAGTCAAAAACTGAATACAAGAAAGAAGTAATTGAGAAGTGAGCTGAAAATTGGAAAATCAAAGCTATCCATGGCCAATACTTGAAAAGGATTGAAGGCAAAGCAGACCAAAAGCTAACTTGGAACTGGTTAATATCAGGAGAACTGAAAAAAGAAACAGAAGGCTTTATTTTGGCAGCTCAAGAAGAAGCCTTAGCCACAAATTGCATGAAGACAAAAATTCAACATACCAA